CCCCAAAACCCCAAAACCCCAAAACCCCAAAACCCCAACGACTAAGAACAGTTGGACTATATTTATTTAACGAAGATTAATTATGTCTTATAACAACAGTCGAGAACGATATGTTTACAAAGGGATGGAGCCTTGATCTCCCTCCTCTCCATCTCCAGAGCGGAACAGAGATCAAGGTTGAAATTATTCAGATAAGTTGTGCATTAGAGGTAACTCTCATATTTCCAGTTCATATAAAAATACAAGGCCTAGAGAAGTTCGGAAAGAAAGTACATATAAGAAAGAGAGGACTGTGCGACTCAGTGATAAAGATTATGATAGTCACAACCATTCCTATGCAAAGAATAGTTTCCATGCCACATCAAGCTATTATCACACTCCTCATGAACCTATTGACTGATACTCAGGATATAATCCGATGGACCTCTACGATAGGTTCTCGGATAATGTCACGAAAAATATTGATCTGACTAAGAATGAGTCAATGAAGGAGAAAGAAGAAGAATACTGCTCGTTGATGGAAGAAGCTCATGACCAAACTATTGGCATTCCTGTCAAGAAACCTAAAGGAAACGATACTTTATTTTCCTTTAGGAACAAACCAACTTTTCCTTCAAAAATTATTCCAGTGGCAGAAAAATTTGATCAGGATAACTTTGATTTAGAATCTGTAGATGAGCTTATAGGTATCGAAACTAGAGAGTTTAATTTCTCCAAGGATATCTATCATGACCGGAGTTGCTCCAAATACAGTGCTCAGAGTCATGAACATAATCAGCCTAGAGAAGAGCATCCTGCATCTCAGCTCAAGGTGAATGAGGCAAGGTACAGTGAAATTCCAAGAAGTTTCAGTCTACATAAAGATATTGAAGATGCTCAAGGAATCGAGCTAGCTCCATGCAAAAAGGATTATCCAAGTAGCACATTTAATAATTGAATGAATAACAAGATATATGATTACAAACAGATAGGGCCGACCAACCTTATTGAAAATACAAACCAAAAAGACCCTTTCTCAATGATCCATGAAAACAGCAAAGATGGCTCAGTAATATTCAACCATACGTTCAACAATGGTAACAACCACACGAAAACTGATTCACAAGTATCGAATGTAGGTTGGTTGTACAAGACAGCTCCTAAATACAAAGCTGCCATTGTTGATTATGACAAATCAAGCAGCCAACAAAACTCGCCTCAGAACCAAGATAGCTTTAATCTTAAGGTTATTGAAAAAGATCCTGCCCAACAAAGAAAAATAGAAATAGATATGATTGTCAGAAACCCGATAGTTGAGAAATCTAATGAACAATCATCCACAAATGAGCATATTCTGCACCTGCATAAAATGAAAAGTCTCTCTGATAAAGAGTCTTCGTCAAGAGTCAAAATCGAGGAAAAGGAGAATATCAAGAAAGATGATATTGCTCAATCAATTAAGTCTCTACATTCAAGGATAGATTCCATTCACACAGTACTTTCATCTAATAATCCTCCTAAGGATGAAGAGAAAAGTCAAGAAAAGCCTATACACTTTCATCGGGACTCTTCAGAGTTCAAGATTAAGAGCCAAAGCAATTGTGAAGTAAAAAAGTCAGAGAGAAATTCTGAAGAAAGAAACCCAGTTAATGACTCATACAACCAATTTGAACGAGCCAGAATTATTGAGTTTTTAAAATCAGAACAAGAACTAGAAAATAATTATGGACCAATTCATGGAAGACTAACTCCAAAGTTACCATCAGCCAATTTGGCAATTCAATCAGAGCGTAGTGATTCCTTGAGAGAGACAGAGAAATCAGTAGAAATGGCTGCGATGTTCCCTCCCTTTAAAAATAGCGATATGCTATTAAGAAAATATGCTTCGAATAGACCACCCACTCGAGAACCAAAGGTTAAAACAAAAAGAAGCAGAAGTAGAAGCAGCAAAACCAGAAAAAATAGGTCTAAATACAAAGTCTACGAGAGACAAATGAAGTGGCTAAAAGAGAAAAATAAAAAGAATGATTTCATGAGAAGACAGCAATACAAATCTAACAAGAGTAAAAGCAAAAGCCGCTGAAGTTCAGTCGCCACTAAAAGATCAAAGTCTCCCAAAAACCAGACTAGGCATTCAACTAGCCTCTGAAGAAGTGAAAGGAGTTCCAAAGGTAAAAAGACAATCAAAGACAAAACTTTCTGTGATTTCCTCCAAAGAAATGAAATCTGGCAAGAAAACAAAAAGAAAAGAATAGAAGAAACTACAATTAGACTACAAAACGCAGAGAAGCAATTAATGAAAACCCCAAAAACGAAAAGACGGTCTAGATCCGATCGAAAACAGCACATCAACCCACACAACATCCCCTCTATTACCAAATCCATCATATCTAGCCAAAACTTCTACAACGAAATCCTCCGCACAAACAGACTCGAAAACCTGCCTTACAAAAACCGTTTCTACTAACCCCATAATTTTTCAACAAACCACTATCTCCCAGGGGTTTTGGGGTTTTGGGGTTTTGGGGTTTTGGGG